CTAAATTTAATTCTTTGTGCCTTATATTACCTTTTTTGAATATACGTTTAAATATATTTGAATTAAATAATTATTTAGAGATAAATAATTTATTTTTTATATATATCTATTTATCTAAATATTTTATAAAATATATAATAACTTTACAATGTATATACATTCCAGTTTAATTAATTACATAATTATTCATGTTATTTAAATATAAAGATGAATAAATATATATATATATATATTTTACTGAATTTATTTTGTTATTGTATATATTATAAACGTTTTAAAATAAAGCAATAATTATACATTTGTATCATTATAAGAAATTTATCTAAATATTATATATTATGTTGTCACTTACTTAGTGCAACTTTTTGATTTGACTACTTTTTGATGCTAATATTTTAACCTTTTTTCTCGTATTATCAATATAATTATTTAGCTCAATTTTTTGATTTCACTACTTTTTGATGCTAATATTTTAATTTTTTTCTAGTATTATTAACAAAAATAAAATATAATTTATAAATATAATTTTTGAGAAAATATTTTTGATAATGATTAATTTTTGCAAAGAATTATTTTGGCTATAAACATAATTTTTGAGAAGATTATATTTTTTATTATTATAAAGAACTATTTTTGCTGACGAAAGATATAACTTAGCGCTTTTTTTTTACATCTGTGATGTCTTTTTTTGTGGAATTTCACATATTTTTGCAAAGATCATTAAACAAAATGCATTAAATAAATGTATATTTTTTTATATTTATAATGAGAGAAGACGAGAGAGAGCAAGAGGACCCAAGAGAGAGAGCGGGAGAGAGCAAGAGGGAGCAAGAGGGAGCAAGAGAGGCGAGAGAAAGCGGGAGAGAGCAAGAGAGAGCGAGAGAGAGCGAGAGAGAGCGATAGAGAGCGATACAAAGCGGGAGAGAGCGAGAGAGAGCGATAGAGAGCGATAGAAAGCGGGAGAGAGCGAGAGAGAGCGGAAAAAAACGAGAGAGAACGAAAGAGAACGAGAAAGAGCGGGAGAGAACAAAAGAAGGCGAGAAACAGCGAGAGAAAGCGAGAAAGAGCGAGAAAAACCGAGAAAGAGCGAGAGAAGACAAGAGAGAGCAAGAGAACGCGAGAGAGAGCGGGAGAGAGCGAGAAAACGCGAGAGAGAGCGGGAGAGAGCGAGAGTACGCGAGAGAGAGCGGAAGAGAACGAGAGAACGCGAGAGAGAGCGGGAAAAAGCGAGAGAACGCGAGCGAAAGCGGGAGAGAGCGAAAGAACGCGAGAGAGAGCGAAAGAAAGCGAGAGAGAGCGAGAGTAAGCGAAAAAAACCGAGAAAGAGCGAGAGAAGACGAGAGAGAGCGAGAGAGAGCGAGAGAAAGCGAGAGAAGGCGATAGAGAGCGAAAAAAGCGATAGAGAGCGGGAGAAAGCGAGAGAGAGCGAAAGAGAGCGAGAGAGAGCGAGAAAGAACGAGAGAGAGCGGGAGAGGACGAGAGAAGGCGAGAAACAGCGAGAGAAAGCGAGAGAGAGCGGGAGAACGCGAGAGAGTGCGGGAGAGAGCGGAAAAGAGCAAGAGAGAGCGAGAGAGAGCGAGAGAGGGCGAGAGAGGGCGAGAGAGAGCGAGAGAACGGGAGAGAACGAGAGAAGGCGAGAACAGCGTGAGAAAGCGAGAGAGAGCGAAAAAAACCGAGAGAGAGCGAGAGAAGACGAGAGAGAGCGAGAGAACGCGTGAGAGAGCGGCAGAGAGCAAGAGGGAGCGAGAGACAGCGAGAGAGGGCGAGAGAGAGCGAGAGAGAGCGATACAAAGCGGGAGAGAGCGAGAGAAAGCGAAAGAAAGCGAGAGAGAGCGGGAGAGAACGAGAGAGAGCGAGAAACAGCGAGAGAAAGCGAAAAACCGTGAGAGAGTGAGAGAAGACGAGAGGAGCGAGAGAGAGCGAGAGAGGCCGAGAGAACGCGAGAGAGCGGCAGAGAGCAAGAGGGAGCGAGAGACAGCGAGAGAGGGCAAGAGAGAGAGCGAGAGAGAGCGATACAAAGCGGGAGAGAGCGAGAGAGAACGAAAGAAAGCGATAGAGCGGGAGAGAACGAGAGAGAGCGAGAAACAGCGAGAGAAAGCGAAAAAAACCGAGAGAGAGTGAGAGAAGACGAGAGGGAGCGAGAGAGGCCGAGAGAGCGCGAGAGAGAGCGATAGAGAGCGGGAGAGAGCGAGAGAGAGCGAAAGAAAGCGAGAGAGAGCGGGAGAGAACGAGAGAAGACGAGAAACAGCGTGAGAAAGCGAGAAAGGGCGAAAAAAACCGAGAGAGAGCGAGAGAAGACGAGAGAGAGCGAGAGAACGCGAGAGAGAGCGGCAGAGAGCAAGAGGGAGCGAGAGACAGCGAGAGAGGGCGAGAGAGAGCAAGAGAGAGCGATACAAAGCGGGAGAGAGCGAGAGAGAGCAAAAGAAAGCGAGAGAGAGCGGGAGAGAACGAGAGAAGGCGAGAAACAGCGAAAGAAAGCGAAAAAAACCGAGAGAGAGTGAGAGAAGACGAGAGGGAGCGAGAGAGGCCGAGAGAGCGCGAGAGAGAGCGAGAGAGAGCGAAAGAAAGCGAGAGAGAGCGGGAGAGAACGAGAGAAGACGAGAAACAGCGTGAGAAAGCGAGAGAAGAGCGAAAAAACCGAGAGAGAGCGAGAGAAGACGAGAGAACGCGAGAGAGAGCGGCAGAGAGCAAGAGGGAGCGAGAGACAGCGAGAGAGGGCAAGAGAGAGAGCGAGAGAGAGCGATACAAAGCGGGAGAGAGCGAGAGAGAACGAAAGAAAGCGATAGAGAGCGGGAGAGAACGAGAGAGAGCGAGAAACAGCGAGAGAAAGCGAAAAAAAACCGAGAGAGAGTGAGAGAAGACGAGAGGGAGCGAGAGAGGCCGAGAGAGCGCGAGAGAGAGCGATAGAGAGCGGGAGAGAGCGAGAGAGAGAGCGAAAGAAGCGAGAGAGAGCGGGAGAGAACGAGAGAAGACGAGAAACAGCGTGAGAAAGCGAGAGAGAGCGAAAAAAACCGAGAGAGAGCGAGAGAAGACGAGAGAGAGCGAGAGAACGCGAGAGAGAGCGGCAGAGAGCAAGAGGGAGCGAGAGACAGCGAGAGAGGGCGAGAGAGAGCAAGAGAGAGCGATACAAAGCGGGAGAGAGCGAGAGAGAGCAAAGAAGCGAGAGAGAGCGGGAGAGAACGAGAGAAGGCGAGAAACAGCGAAAGAAAGCGAAAAAAACCGAGAGAGAGTGAGAGAAGACGAGAGGGAGCGAGAGAGGCCGAGAGAGCGCGAGAGAGAGCGAGAGAGAGCGAAAGAAAGCGAGAGAGAGCGGGAGAGAACGAGAGAAGACGAGAAACAGCGTGAGAAAGCGAAAGAGAGCGAAAAAAACCGAGAGAGAGCGAGAGAAGACGAGAGAGAGCGAGAGAACGCGAGAGAGAGCGGCAGAGAGCAAGAGGGAGCGAGAGACAGCGAGAGAGGGCGAGAGAGAGCGAGAGAGAGCGATACAAAGCGGGAGAGAGCGAGAGAGAGCGAAAAAAGCGAGAGAGAGCGGGAGAAAACGAGAGAGAGCGAGAAACAGCGAGAGAAAGCGAAAAAACCAGAGAGAGTGAGAGAAGACGAGAGGGAGCGAGAGAGAGCGAGAGAGGCCGAGAGAGCGCGAGAGAGAGAGCGGGAGAGAGCGAGAGAGACCGGAAGAAAGCGAGAGAGCGAGAGAGAACGAGAGAAGGCGAGAAACAGCGAGAGAAAGCGAGAAAGAGCGAAAAACCGAGAGAGAGCGAGAGACGAGAGAGAGCGAGAGAACGCGAGAGAGAGTGGGAGAGAGCGAGAGAACGCGAGAGAGAGCGACAGAGAGCGAGAGAACGCGAGAGAGCGGTAGAGAGCAAGAGAGAGCGAGAGACAGCGAGAGAAAGCGAGAGAGGGCGAGAGAGAGCGAAAAAAGACGTGGGAAAGCAAGAGAGAAAGGGAGAAAAAGGGTGAGAGAGAGGGGGAGAGAGAGAGAGAGTGAGAGAGAGCGAGAATTTATTTTTCGTTTGGTTGCTTAAAAGGTTAAGCAGCTGAGGAAAATGTCACTATACTAGGATGGGTGACCGCGGATAAGGTAAAGCAGCTTCGGACAGAATCACTTTGTCGGGATGGGTGACCGCGGACAAGTACGACGCCGTAGTCTTAAAAAAAAGTGACACCTTTTCGACCAAAAATAACTTGAAAAATTCATATCTCCGCAACCAATAGAGCTATCAAGTTCGTTAAAGTCTCATTTTACTCGGAAAAAATCGCGCTTTCGATTGATATGGTCATCTTTTGAAAAATATGTTTCCGTTCATGAAATATTTCAAATTTTTGTTTTCAAGGTTACGAAAATCGTGTTACGTCCGGTAAAGGATACACAGTAGCGTCCTACGGATAATTTTCGCTATTGTTTCGATATTTTCGCTATCTTTTCGATATCTTTCGATATTTTTTTTTTGTTTTTTTGTAGATTGTATTTTAATTTGACGAATGAAAGATATAACTTAGCGAGACGCTACCGCGTCTCCTGATATCCTGTATACTTAATCAAATGATTAACTATTTACTTACTCAATATATCAATATGATTTTAACCAATTAATATATACATATAATGTTTTTTCAATTGAAATATGTATAAAATTGTATGTCGACTTAATATGTGCAATACAAATGTAGAATGCTGAAGACACATTAAATATTTTGTTAATTTATACTTTTTAAATCATTAAATCTCTCTCTTTATAAGAGAGATATTTCTAAATCGGCATAAAATTATATATTTGTATATTTTTATATATACATATTCTACATATTTAAATCAATTAAGGAATTTGGTAATGTTTAGATTTAATGAGATTTCGAAGGTTTATAAATATAATATAATAATGAAAATAATTTCATATCTAAATCGAACATTCTACATATGTGCTACGTTAATATTGAAATACGATCAAAGGCGTGCCAAAATACAAATATATAATAATCATGAAAAATAAATCAAAGTAAAAAAAAGAAAGAAATATGATTATACTTACTTCTTACTGTGTGTTCCACGAGCTATGCGTAGAGAACAAACTTTTCTAGAATGATGCAGACTTTTTTAAAATAATGCAGATAAATAAAGCGATCCCCAATATATTAGTCTCAATATTTCTTTTGTGACAATGCTGTAACAAAATAAAAATTACAAATAAGAAAAAGAAACTATAATTATAAATTATAAAATATAATACCTATTTCTTTGTCGCACTACTGTAGAGAACACACTACTGTTGTGTATATGAATATAAAGCTGCGATAATATTTTCTTGCAATGCTGTAACAAAATTAAAACTAAGATAAAGAATTATATGAATATACACATATACAATATATATGATTTCTATTACTTTTATCACATTTTACTTTATTATATATTAGCTTCCTCTATTGTTTAATTGTATTATACTTTGATACATGCATCAAAGACATATTTTGGTACATCATCATCAATATACAAAAAGACTAATATTAGAATAAATGTACCAAAATAATATGCATGTATATTAAGGAACAGGAATGCAATGAGAAATAAAATAGATTAGACTAAAAATAAAGTATATAAAATGTAAAATGTAAGTTCACGATAAAATAAATCTGAAGTTTAAGGGTCGATTGCACCAACATTATTTTGACTTTAAGTCTTGCTTAAAACCAAAATATGTATTTCTTTATTTAGAAAGAAACATAAATAAGATATAGGTATACATATTTTTGTTCCAAAAGAAAATGTATTGTTGCAATCGGGCCTGTCCGATTATTAATTTTAAGGTTAACTTGCAGTTGTAAAACATATTTTATAGTGAATTATATAATAATATATTTAGTAAAATATATAATATATTTTACACAAAATAAGATAAATTTTGAAAGAAATGAAAAGGATTTATATTTACAAAAAATTATATAAAAATATACAGACTTACTTTCACACCGTCATGCGACAAGATATCACAGGAAAAAGACCGGTAACCCACTATCATAGAAAAAACACTATCACAAACCGCGTGGCGTGTACGTTTACGCGCCAAAACGCTCTGCACTTAAATGGCTCCATACGACATCCTGTAACGAATATTCTGCGTAATTCAAAAGTATATCTTGAAAATATACGCGAATATACTAATAATAATATACTGTAAGAGATATTAAAATATATTCTAAGAATATACGAAAAATAATATATTGCAAGAGATATTATAAAGATATTCTCAGTATCTTATGTATATTGCGTAGATTAACAGTATGTGTACAGAATATTCGAATGATATCATGTGCTGTGTGGGTCACTTTCCATGCTTCTTTCTTTCTTTCCGCTGAACATCTTTTCTAAACTATTGTCTTCTTTCCTACTTATAATTCTCTTGCTCTTTGGCTTTTCCTTTCTTCCTTTCTAATTTCTCTTTATGTTCTCCCTACTCCTTGCTTATCTCTCTCTAAAAGCTACTAGCTATTCCGTAGCACCTGCTCTTTCTTTCTACCGCACATCTCTCTCTCTATATATTCTATACTCCCTACCCAAACTATCTGCTGTCAGCTATCTCTCTATCTAATTCTTTCCTCCACCTTCTATCTATTTTCGTTTGCCACACTTTCACTCTCTCATTTTCTTTTCCTCTCTCTCTTCACACTATCCTTTCCTCTCCCTCTGTTCTCTATATCCTCTAAAGCTCCCTCAAACCTACACACTCACTCTCCACGTGTACACCACCCTCGCACCGGAAACGGAAGGTCAATAATGCGTATATATTTATACCATATTAAGCATGTATAATGTAGCACATATAGAGAAATATGATATCAATTTTGTTAAATAATTAAATATTAATATTTAAATAATATACTAAAAAGTTTCAATTTTTACGAAATAGCGTGAGTAAGCGTGGCCAAATTTTTCTTCTTGTCGGGACCGTTGTTTTAATGCCTACTTACGTTATATTAACATCTAATTTCTAGACAATAATATTTAAAGTTTATTTTGTCATACTTTTTCAAATGTTCGTGAAAATAACTAAGCATTAAATTTTTGATAATTTAATATTGTAAACGCAACGTATTTCAAACTCGCATTTAACATCGGCATAAGATAATTGATTTTGTTAAATTATTTAATAATAATTGAATAGTAAGCTAAAATGCTAGAATAGTGAGAATTTTGACAAAACAGTGCAAACAAACTTTATAACGCCAAATTTTTAGTATTGATGAGATTGTTGATATAATGCGTATATTTACATCATATTAAGTATGTGTATATTTAACACCTACATAAGATATCAATTTTGTTAAACAATTAAATATTAACATTTTAATAGTATGCTAAAAGATAAAATAAAATCAATTTTGTGAAATTATGCGAGCAAGATTTATGGCGCTAAAATTTGTTATTGATAGGACTGTTTAATATATAATGCCTATTTGCATCATATTAACACCAAATTTTCAGAAAAATGATAATATTACTTAAAATTAATATAATTTTTCAAACGTGAAAATAAGAGATTCCTGAAGTATCCGACAAGAACAGAAAAGTCAAACTGATGTTAATTTGACATTATATTGATAAAGTTTAGGCAATTTATATATGTTATATAAAATAAAATAATACATTTTTTCTGATATAGCACAAAATTTGTGGCACCAAATCTTTGTCACTGGCGGAATTGTTATGATATATATTTACATTGTAATAATGCGTTTTTTCATAAAATAATATTATTGAGCAGCAAGTGGAGTTACTCTGATTTAGCTTCTGCAAGGCGCCCAGTTCCTCACTCGGATGAAGTACCAATTCCAATGTTTCACGAATTACCGGAGCTTTCTAGGGATGAATCTACTCCCGGTCATGCCTCTTATGATGCACAACAAAATAACGACAGTGATTATGTTGGATCTTTATTAAGTCCTTACATTTTAACCAAAACGAGTTAAATGACCTGATGAGAGATCTCAGCCTTTGAAAAGAAACTTCTGAATTAATTGTTTTTAGATTGAATGATAAGAATGTACTCGAATGTGGAACGAAAATTACATTCTACCGCACAAGAGAAAGATATTTCCTACCCTTCTTCTCTCAGGAAAACAATTTTGTTTTCTGTCAAGATGTTAGAGGACTCATCATAAAAATGGGTATTCCTAAATATGAGGTTATAGATTTAATCTGACAACACTGGCCTCAATTAGCGTTGTTAATATATATTTATTTTGACGTTTCGACCATGTGGGTTGTGGTCCTTTTCAAAAATACAATTAGAACTTTCTAAAACCTATAGATACAATCAGACACTCTAATTAAAACGAAACGGGAACTGCAAATTTGAGACTTACAATGAGTTACAGCATTTCGTCTTTAAGATATAAGAGCAAATTATGATTCAGAGAGATTTAGCTTATGTCACAATAATAAAATTACATATCGAGTTACGTTTTTGTCTTCATACTTTGACAGAACACACTGTACTAAAATTAATAACATTGCCAAGATAAGTATGTCGAAGGTTACATCAATTTCTAACGTTTTCGTCTTCATACTTTGACAGAACACACTGTACTAAATTTAATAACATCGCCAAGATAAGTATGTCGAAGGTTACATCAATTTCTAAACAAACAATCATACGCAGTGCTAAAACTTTCTGTGTCTTTTTGTAAATTAATTGTGGAATTTAATTTCTTAATAAAATACATCTCGATTTACTTCTCAATCGTCAGAATAAGATATATGAAAGATTTTTCAATTTTGAATGTAGTAAATGGATAATTAATAATTCGGATGAAGAAGTACCGGATAACGTTCTTAGATTTCTGAGTTTAGGTGGAAAATTCGGATTGCTTTTTAATCATAACAGTGTAAGGGATTCTGAGTCGTTTGCACTTAATGTAATAAAAAATTTCGAATTAAATAGTCACCGACTGAAAGAGTCTACTGAATGATACGCGTAATTGTATTGCTAAATTATTGAATAGACTTAAAAACAAAAGAAAACACCAATATTTTATAAGTAGACATATCCTAAACAAATTCTCAAAATGTAAAAAATATTTAGCAGGCAATAGGGATATTTTTGTAACGCGAGCAGATAAGGAACAGGTCACTGTAATCATGAATAGGGGTAAATATTTGCAGCAAATGACAGAATTGTTAAATGATACATCGACATATAAAATTATGAAAAAAGATCCGATAAAAAATTTATCTCAAAAAGTTAATGACTTATTGAAATCTTGGCATAATAACAATTTAATTGATGAACGTACTTATAATAATTTAAAATGCACTAACGGGAATACGCCGAGAGCATATGGATTGCCGAAGATCCATAAGGCAGGAACCCCCTTAAGAATTATCATCTCATCTATTGAGAGTCCGTTGTATATAATGGCAAATTATTTACACACTTTTTTACAAAATTCAATTCAAAAACCTCGTTTGTTTGTCAAGAATAGTTTGGCGTTTGCTAATTTAATTAATAATAAAGCCATTGAGTCAACTGAAATAATGGCTTCGTTAGACGTCACTTCATTCTATACTAATATCCCGAAGGAATTAGGCTCTTTGAAGTTGGCACGGCTTTTTCGATTTTCAAAAAAACATATGAGTTTTAGTAGCACTTTTAAGAGTTCTAGAGTTCCTGATAAGTTTCGCAAATAGTTCTGTCAATTTGAGGTCAAAAAACGAATTTTTTAAAAATGTCGTGCTAACTTCCCGTAGCACGACACTTACGCAAAAAAAATTTTTTTTTTGTGTATTTCGATAGATTTTGACGAGATCTAGAGTTCCTGATAAATTTTAACAATGGTTCCGGCGAACTATGCATTCTACGAGTTAAAAAAAAATTTAAACAATATTTATAAAAATTGTATCTTGTTGTGCTAATAGAAATATTCATTTCTCACGGCGCAATTTGCGAGTTCTAGGATAGTTCTGACCTCCAAAATAATTTTCGACAATAATTTTGTCGATTAACCATAATTAACTTAATTAATTAATAAGCTATTATAGCACGACATCGCGAAAGAGTGTCGTGCTGGTAGAAATATCGATTTCTCTGGGCGCATTTTACGAGTTCTAGAATAGTTCTGACCTCCAAAATAATTTTCGACAATAGTTCTGTCGATTACCAGTAATTAACTTAAATAATTAATAAGATAATTATAGCACGACATTCGAGCAAAGGGTGTCGTGCTAAGTATATATCGCAGTTCTAGGGGGAGTTTTGGCCAGTTCTCGTAGAGTTTTATGCTCTGCAATTATTCTCAAAAATAGTTGGAGCGATTAAACATTTTTTAATAATTTTTTCAATTTTTTAATGTCCGATTTCAGCACGACACTTGAGCAGAGGGTGTCGTGCTGAGTATATATCGCAGTTCTAGGGGAGTTTTGGCCAGTTCTCGTAGAGTTCTATGCTCTGCAATCATTTTCAAAATAGTTCCGGCGATTAAACATTTTTTAATAATTTAAAAAATTTTTTAATGTCCGATTTCAGCACGACACTCGAGCAAAGGGTGTCGTGCTGAGTATATATCGCAGTTCTAGGGAAAACTATTAGGAAAACCTTGCTTTTGCAAATTCTTCAATAGTATGGTGTAGCACTTCATTTTTTGGCTACTGAATGAATCTTAGTGCAAAACAATGCAAGGCATAAGTTACCCTTCTTACTGCTCTGAATGCTGTTGCTTTTTCCAACACCAAATTGGACATGTATTGAGCTGCGAAATAAATATATATGCTACACAACTCTACATTTAAAAATAACAAAAAACTGCATTCTGATATTGTCAAAACTGAAAATCTATAGTGTATGTATGTATATACATGATGTATGTACATGAGTTTGCAATGGTTAATTTTTCATAGGATTCTACATAGGTTTGCAATGGGTACGATTCTACATGGGTTTGCAATGGTTAATTTTGCCTAGGATTCTACATGGGTTTGCAATGATTAATTTTTCATAGGATTCTACATGGGTTTGCAATAGGATAGGATTCTACATGGGTTTGCAATGGATAATTTTTGTTAATGGCGTGCCCTTAACTGGTCGCCTTTTTTTACCTTTTTTTAAAGGTGAGTTTTTAGAGATTATATCATTCATTTTTGTATATTTTTATGACCGGAATAGAACAATTATTAAACATGTTTATCTA